TCTGGACCCGCCGTGTCCGAAGACAGTCGCCCTTTAACTGGACTGGCAGCTGCAATTGCGGGAGCAAAGCTTAGGAAAGTGTCTCGGGTAAATCGCCAAACTCCATGACTTTTAAATGTGTGTCCTATTGTTTCTAAGTGTCTAAAACAGTGAAATTACTGTGTTACAGTGGTGTGAACCCTGTTACTGACTCTATTGATTAAAAACCAACATAATTTAAAATTTCCGAAAAGATGTAAGGGTAGTGTAGAGTTTCTGTGACCCCTTTATCGTATCGTCTCTAGATTTGAGAGTTAATACCGGACCACTATTTGCCTCTTGTTTTCTTTGTGTGTGTCTCCTTTACCACACACTGTTTCCAATATAAATGATTTGAGAGTAAGTAAAAAACACCATGTTCTTATTTTTTTTTATCTCAGTGTAGATTTGGAGGGGGGTAGCTAATTATTTTTTATGGCTTATTTTTTTTCTAGTTCAAGATCATTTGTTAAATTTTATTGCAATTCTCTTGTTTTAATCTGTGATGGATCTTCAGTCTTTATTACATTTTAAAAAAACATAGTTATTTTTTAAAATTATCTTTGAGTTTGGTTTATTACATTTCTACCTCAGTATTGAATTCAGATTATGTATTTGGGATGAGGGGGAAAAATAACATCAGGATTGTGTCTTTCTCAGTGTGTCATATGGAAAGTCAATGCTGTTTTTTCCCCCAATGTTGGTGATTTTCTCTTTGATAGAATTCCCATTGAAATGTGAAGTCGATGTTATTCACTCTGTTGGTTCTTCAAATTTAAAAAAAAAAAATACTCTTTTTGAAATCAATAATGATGTGTTCCTTTGATTTGAATATGTTAGCAGGCATTATTATCTACATAGGAAATTATTATGTGTGTGTTCTCATTAAGGTGGAGGATGGCTCTTTCCCAAGTGGAGGGAGTACTGTGGGTGTGAACTTGGCCTCGTCGAAAACAGATGCTGGTCGTGGGAATGGACCCCTTCCTCTAGGGGGCAGTGGCTTAATGGAAGAAATGAGTGCTCTGCTGGCCAGGAGGTGAGAGATTTTACTAAGGTGGTTATGTTCAGAGTCAAGAACACTTTGATAATTTTGTCCTCTTCGCTCTTAGAACAAGAGTAGACAGACAGGCAGGGAGACAAAGATAGGTATGTGATATAAAACTTTTAAATTAATTTGCCTTTCCAGGAGAAGAATTGCTGAAAAAGGTTCAACAGTAGAAGCAGAACAAAAAGAAGACAGAAGTGTAAGTGAATATAAAATCTCTGTACCTTAAGATGTAAAACTCGAGCCCAGTTTATTTTAAAAAAAAAAAAGAGGCATGTACAGATTATTTAATCTGAACTCAATTCATTTGTGCTTGTTTGCTTATTTCATTTCTACCTATAAAATATTAGAAATGGCTTGAGTGTTATGTATGAAATTATAGTCTCATTCTTAGCGAATTGAGTTGAATATGGGGATTTGTAGGGAAAGTACTGAAGAATTAACCTATAAAGTTAATTCTGTTCTTCATCCACCTTTAAATGAGTGAATGGAGTCTTACAAGTTTTCTAATGTTAGGCTTCTCAATTTGTTTGTGATAATGTAAGATTAAAGAATTATATTAAATCAACAGTTTGTACATCACCCTTAGGAGCCCTTTGTATATTAGCTGTGCCCCTTAGGAGTGTGCCCTTCATGTCCTACCCCACATTTCAGCCAGGTGAACTAACTTCTCCTGCCTGTTGTGTCGCCTTCAACGCAGCCATAACCGTTTTCCCTGTGACATCTGGCCTCCTTTCCATAGCGTGCCTCAAATCATCTCACCTCAGGTTGCTGGCGTTGGCTAGTTCAGGCTCTCAGGACTTAGCAAGGAAGAGCTTTGTGAAGACAGTAGGGAGAAGACTGGAAGTCAGAGAAAGAAGCAGTGTGAGGCAGACTGTGAGGAAAACGAGATAGATGACAGAAAAAAAAGGAGAGGGGAGCTTGTAGCCTTAGCTGCAGAGAGTAGCACCTACGGTGGTGTGATGTTAACTGACTGTTTCTGTGCATTTAGGAAGATGCAGAGCCTGTAACTTCTAAGGCCTCGTCAACAAGTACACCTGGTAAGTTCAGGAGAAAACTCCCTAAATGCTGATACTGTCCAGTTAACAAGGCTCTTTCCTGTGTTTGGACCAAGTGACTGCTTGCTCACCACAAACATTAAAGTGCTTTATGTACATTTGAAGGCAGTGATCTTTTTTCTCACAAATCAATGAAATGCACATGCTGCTAGGTAGCATTATAATATATCTCAAAACATTCTCAAGTGCGGAAACAAACTCTCCTTTCTCTGCAGCCATTGACTACTTTTAGCTTTTTGTGTAGTGGTTGGGCCACATGGAATTTTCCCAGTCGGTGTTGGTGTGTCAGCCGGTGTTGTCACTGTGCTGGTCTTGTTCAGGCAGCCATATTGCTGAGAAGTCCTGCGATGTTGTAGCACTGCCGGTCTTGGCTCCATTCCTCGACAGCCATGAGGTTCAGCCTGGGTGGGGGTGTGTGGACCTGGAAACCCCTAGCAACCCAGCGGCAATAAAGACCAAACACAGGCACCTTGTCATCTTTACAGAGCTCTCAGTTCCATGTTGTAAAATTAGAGTCTCTTCTTTATCTACCATCTTTTTGGCTGTTTCTTAACCATGCTTCCATGGCCATGAGGAGACCACTTCTGTCCTTCTCTTCTCTCTGCTTGATGGCCCCCTAACTCCACCAACGCCCGGCTCTGTTGCACACCTTTAAACCCAGCACTCAGGAGGCAGAGGCAGGCAAATCTCTGAGTTTGAGGCCAGCCTGGTCTACAAATCGAGCTCCAAGACAGCTGGGGAAGACAGAGAAACCCTGTCTTCAAAAACCAAAATAAAACAAAACAAAAATATCATATAAAACACTTAATGAGCCAAAAATGAGTGACAGATTAAAAAATCTCTTAAGCACAAAAACTCATAAGGTGCTAAATACGACTGTCAGGGAGGGAATAACATATTGAATCACCTGGGCTATCTTTGGAGAGAATGATGTTAACATTGCATTGTAGAGTGTTTAGCTCAGCTAAAACTAAAATGTTAGTATGTTATGAACAGAGATATGGTGTTAAAGTTGAGTAAGAAGAAACTGAGGAATGACAAGTTGACTTCTTACTTGTCTAGAACTTGGCTTTAAGGATTCTTGGGAGAATGTGTTTGAAACATGTTAAAATTAAAAAAAAAAAAAAAAAAAAAAAAAAACAAGTGGGGGGGAAGCCCACGCCTTTAATCCCAGCACTCGGGAGGCAGAGGCAGGGACATCTCAGTGAATTTGAGGCCAGCCCGGTCTATGGAGCAAGTGCCAGGATAGGCTCCAAAGCTACACAGAGAAACCCTGTCTCGAAAAATGGAGGGGGCGGGGACTATTAGGAAAAGATAGGTAGTAAGTAGATTTAGGCTTTATCTTGCAAGTATTTGCATTTGACATGTAAGTCAGCTAAAACTCTTTGGGAGCACTTTAAACTGGCGTTTGTCAGTCTTGTCAATGTGGAGTGGGGGAAGACTGAGTTAGGGAAACCAATCTGCTGGAGCCAGTGGAGATCCAGTGTGTCTTCACAAACTGCCAGCAGGGACCCAGACCTCTGCCTTGTCCTGAAGCCCACCTGTGCTGCTTAGAAAAGAGATCCCTACCCCTTCTGCTTCCTCAGAGCCGAACAACCCATCCTCACAACCAGAGGTCCCTTTGAAGATTAACAGGGTAGCTGGTGGTGGTGGCTGCAGCACACACCTCTAATCCCAGCACTTGGGAGGCAGAGGCAGGCAGGTCTCTGAATTCGAGGCCAGCCCTGTTGACAGGATAGCCCGGACTGTCCCTGTCTCAAAAAAAAAAAACAAAAACAAGAGATTAACAGGGTAAGGTTAACTAAGCATGATAATTTTTACCTGCACTAGGAGCATTTGGCAGACTGAGGCAGGAGAATTGCCACAAGTTTGAGACCAGCCTGGACTATCTATATAATCCCAGGTTACCTTGAACTGTAGTGTGAGACTGGAACTCAAAGAACAAAAAACAAACCAGATGAACAGAAAGAGATTAATAGGGCTTCTCCCTAATTGAGAAAGTACCACACTCATCGCTTAAGGTAGTGTTTGTACTGCATCTACCAACTTTTTAATTGCTTTCATCCTTACACCTGCATCTTCTTTGATACTCATGTCCCAGTGGTTCTCACCCTCCCTTCCTGGTGTGTCTTCCATCCTCTGTGACTTGGGTTAGTGTGTAGAATGTAGTTCATATTCCGTCCATCCTGGCTCCATTCTGTTTTTTGATGTTCCCTTACTAACTCTGGAAGCTGCCGTTCATGTGCTCACCAACAATGCCTTAGCTACTCCCAGAGATGAGGAAGAATTAAATGATGAAGTAAAGGAAGGTCATGGCAACTTAGGATCTTCCCTAGATAGCTCTGAGGAAGCAGTTCAGAGCCCCAAGCTGGGCTCCAGGGGAGTTTGGATTTAGTTTTGCATACAGTTTGAAGAGACTATAAAAGCTTCCTCCTGAGTGGAGACGTGCAGAAGCCACTTAAGGGGTGGCCACATAGAACATGAAACAGTTTCTTATATAAAATACAGTGTAAGCGTGACTCAGAGACAGAGTTGATTTGAGCGTGACTCAGATGCTCTCCCTCTGACAGCTTCACTTTTGATTTTATTAAGTCATCTAGTCAGACCACTGACACAGCATCAGATAGTCGACCACATTGGAAAATCACAGTTCTAAGCCTGTGTCTATACACTGTCTCCTGTTTCCCTAGAACTGACTGATTCTGAAATTTATTTGGAGCTGTTTTTTCCCCCCGAGAGCTATTTGAATTTATGTGAAATGTTGAATAGAAACACACCACAGATTGTACTTTTTATTTACTACTGGACAAAAGTTTAGTACATTGGAATTTATTGGATTCTAGTGTAAACTATGCTAATTGGTTAAGGCATCCTTTTATCATGCTTATTATCACTATCATTTGGATTGTTTAGATTTTATATAATGTAAGGGGTTTTAAGAAAGCATACTCACTTTTTTTCTTTTTCTTTTGATTTGAGTTTTTTAGACAAGGTGTCACTATGTAGTCTTGGCTACATGGAACTCACTGTGAAGACCAGGCTAGCCTCATTCAGCTCTTCCTGCCTCTACCTTCTGAAATCGTACATGTTAGAGTCCCTACTGTTCAAAATTTAAATGTTGTATAAGTATTACTTCTGTGTACATAGAATGATAGTTCTTTCATGTCTTGTTTTGCAATGATTCTGGAAGGCTTTGAGGTGTGTGTGTGTTTAATAACACTTGTTTCTTATTTTTGAAGAACCAACCAGAAAACCCTGGGAAAGAACAAACACGATGAATGGCAGTAAGTCACCTGTCATCTCCAGGTATTGATTTTTTTTCTACATTTTATATTACATGTATCTAAAAAGAAGTTAATACCTTTTTATCATAGAAAAATTTTAGTTGTGCAAAGGAAAACATAAAAGCACCTATGATCTATATACTGTAAAACCACTGAATTCATATTTTTGCTACTCCTGACTATCTGATAAATTCTGCTGGCATATTTCTTAATCAGATGTATAGATACTTTAGGATAGTTTCATCCTTTTTAACTTGTTTGTTTTTTAAAAAATTCAAATTAAAAGAAGAAACATGGAGCAAATTTTAAAATGCAACTATCACCCAGTCACATGTCTTTTTTCTTTGCATCCATGTTTTCTTCTCTCTTAATAGTGTAAAGAAACTTGTAAGTAAATGGTGTTTTCACCTAAATACTTTGATAGTCTCCCAAAGAGCTAGGACATCTCCAACACAACCAAAATAGAATCACTGCCCCACATCAATTAAACATTGAACAATAAGGAAAATCTGATATAGCACTGACCAATAATGACCCAACTAGTCTCTACATAGTTTTCAAAATAAAATTTTAGAAGAGAACTATGTTTTATATTGAAATTCAGCTAAAGATTATAAAGAATGTAAAAGAGCAAAAATGAAGTACAAATTTGCTGTATGTCCATCAAAACCGGGCTGGAGAGGTGGCTTAGCGGTTGCTCTAGTGGACCCAGGTTCAAGTCCTACCCCACATAGTAGCTAACAACTGCCTGTAACTTCACTTCCTGGGGGTCCAGTGCTGTTTTCTGGCTTGTGAAGGCACGGCATGTACATGTAGACAAATGTGTTGGCAAAACACTCATTTGAATGTAATTCAAAAAATAAATAATTTGGGTGTGGTGTGCATATTTTTTAATCCCAATGTTCACCAGGCAGAGGCAAGCAGATCTCTGAGATCGAGGCCAACCTAGAGTACATATTAAGTTCTGGGCCAGGTAAAACTACACAGTTAGACCCTGTCTCAAAAAAATCAATAAGTAATAAAACATCCCAAAATTTTTATCATAGTTAAGTTAGAAATGATAGACTTGCTGACCAGTCAAGAGACCCTGCTTCCAAAAAACAGTGGAGAAAAACCACCTGTCATCCTCTCTTTGCTTGTGCACAAGCACGCAGTTTTCAGAATGCTTACCTAATATGCACAAAGGCCTGAGCTCAATCCCCAGCACTGCTTGAACTGAAACATGGTAGCAATGTCTGTAATCCCAGCACTGAGGGGCAGGGCTGTGGGTGAGACAGAAAGGTGGTCAGGGTCATCCTCATCTACTTACTAAATCTGGGGCCAGCTTGGCCTACCTGAAATGCTGTCTCCAAAAACAAAGAAAGGAAAGATAGTGTCCATAGACAGTACTGACTGAGTTCTGTGAGTTAACCACAGGCAGGAGTGTTGTGGTAAAAATCTCCTGGTTGTATTCATGATGGGAGAACATGTTCTTTATGTGTCTGTGTATAATTAGTTTTGTCTGCATGGGCTACAGATATTTTTTAGTCTATTGCTTTGATATTCACTGAATAGAGATGTCTTTGCTTGGGTTTTGATCCTTGGTCAGTAGGTAGCTACAGCGTACAAAAGCAGCCATTGTGTCATGTAAATTGATATCAAAATACCCTTTTAAATTTGGTAAAAATAAATATTTTAAGGATAATTAACAACTTTTATTTTTGTTTTGCTTGCTATAACTAAAAGCCTATAAATCAGTAGCATCATGGGAATTATCTTTTGAAGTTCTACTGTATACCCTTTAAATGGTTTTTCCCCTTCATAGACGGGATTCTCCAAGGAAAAATCAGATTGTTTTTGACAACAGGTCCTATGATTCATTACACAGGTATCATCCTGCTGTGACTTTGTGATTTCAGACTTTTCAGTAACATGTCCAGGGTAGGGCTGAGCTTTTTCTACCTGGATTGGTAATCACCACAAGGGAGACTTTGGGAGGATTGAGGTTTCTTTTTTGTAACTGTAGTTTGAATTGCTTGATAGTTGGATTCAGATAAACACAAATGATAAGCATCAGAAGTACTAGAATGAAAAGTCGTATCATTTTACAGTGTTGGTCGATTTAGCATTTTCCTTTAAAGCGGTTTTCTTCATGATTCTGTGGTGAGGCTTTTAAAGAATGGAACTGCAGTCCTGTGCTGCTTTTGCTAGGACAGACGACAGTATTGTAGCTATAGATGAAGCTGCTCCCTCCATGTGCTGAGTGAGTGTCTAACGATTTGGTACCTAGCATCCTGAGCACATTGTTTCTAGATGAGCCCTAAGATTTTTTTTTTAATGAAAAAAGCAAAAAAAGGCCAAAAAACCCAAACCTCAGAATATTAAACATACAGGTCACTAATCATGTCCTGTGCACAGTCTTCAGCACTGCCATCCCTCCACCACCAGTATCAATCGTCTGTTTCTCTTGATTGAAAAAAAGGCAGCCCGGCGTTGGTGGCGCACGCCTTTAATCCCAGCACTCAGGAGGCAGAGGCAGGTGGATCTCTGTGAGTTTGAGACCAGCCTGGTCTACAAGAGCTAGTTCCAGGACAACCTTCAAAGCCACAGATTGTTTCGAAAAAACAAAAAAAAGAAAAGGAAAAAAAAGCAACAATTTTAAAAAGTCTGTAAATGCTTCTTAGCAGTTTATAGAATTTATTTGATAGAATAGGAAGTTAAATATTGCAGTATAGTAATTTTATAGGCAGATGTCTAGGTAACATTTTCCTAAAATTAAGGGAAAAATGTATATTTAAACATCTAATAATCCCTCAGATGGTTTGTTATCAGTTCATAATAAAAATCCATAATTTAAAAGCAACAGATATAAAGAGGGGCAAGATATTATATGCCTGTCGTCTTGGCACTCAGGATGCTGAGGCAGAGCGATGAATTAAGGGTATCCTGGATTATATAGTGAGACTTGCCTCAGATAAATGAAGGAATACATAAACACTGAAGTATATGCATTTTATTAGAAATATATTAATAACCAGGCATGTTAATGCATGCCTTTAATCCCAGCACTTGGGAGGCAGTGGCAGGTGAGTCTCTGAATTCGAGGCCTGGTCTACAAAGCAACTTGGAGGACAATTGGGGCTTATTACACAGAGAAACCCTGTCTTGAAAATAAACAAAGGAAAAGAAAAACTTCAGTATGTGCCAGGCACAATGGCACACACCTTTAATCCTGGAACCCTGGAGACAGAGACAGGAGGGTCTGTGGAGGCCAGCCTGAGCAACATAGAGCAGTGTTTCTCAACCTGTGGTTTACTACCCCTCTGGGGGTCAAACAATCCTTCCACAGGGGTCAAATATCAGATATCTTGCATATCATATATTTACATTACGGTTCAGAACAGTAGCAAAACTACAGTTAATTAAAAAGCAGTGAAATTAATTTTACGGTGAGGATCACTGCAACATGAGGAACTGTATTAAAGGGTCACAGCATCAGGAAGGTTGAGAACCAGTGATGAAGAGAGTTTCAGTTTCAGGATGTCCAGGGCTATATAGAGAGACCCTGTCTCAAGAAAAAAAGAAAAGAAATATATCATTGTTACATACATCCATTTTTTTTTAAATGTACATCATGTGTTCAGTAGTGAATGAATTAAATAATGGATAGAGAGGATATCTGTGTCAGTAAGTAGTTCTGTAACTGGCTCTGGTCATTCTTATTTGCTAAAATTACTTTTATGCTGCTGGCAATTAAAATATTTGGCAGATTTATTTTGTCAACCAGCTACTTTTCCATGAATGTTCATATTACAGTCCAGCCTTTTTATTTGTTTCTTTGAAGTAGGCTAATTGTTCAGAAGAAAAGGTTTATTAGGAAAATCTGCTAGAACATAGAGAAAAACAGTGCCTAAAACCAAAATCCTCTAAGTCACCTGCTACTTCCATACTTAGCACCAGATTATTGTTCCTTTTTTAAAAAAAAGTGGTGATTACTCCTTTCCTTCAGTATGAAAAGTTCCCCCCTTTGTGTGTATTCCCATGTTAGCATGAATTAAATTTTTTTAAGTTGCATGTTTGCACAGTTGTTTATTAGTTAACATTTTAAATTATTTAACAAATGCAGATATGTTTATAAAGTATAGCATATTTCTCAGCTAAGTAGATTATACCTGTTTGTTGGAATTTCAGAAATAGCCATTATATATCTTAGGAAAAAGTAACCTAATTGACCTTAAATGGAAGCAATAAAGGCAGATTAATTAATAATTTATTTAATTCTGGAAAGCAGAGATAAATAACCAGGGTATATAAAATGCAGTGTGCCAACCCTCAAGAATATTTACTATACCTGACTTTGCCCAGAATACTGGATATTTTGCTGTGGGTCTTAGATCTTAATACTTTAGAATTCACTAGGGTCTTCAACAAAGAAAGGTGTATCTTCATGAGAGGAGAAGCAGTTCTGTATATAAATCCTCAGTACTTATTAAACAAAGTTTCTGGAAGTTGCTGCTTAAGCAGATACCCAATAAGTTAAAATTGGGCTTCTTGTTTTTGTTTTGTAATGAGATTTTTAAGCAATAATATGTTTTGATATTGAAGCAAATTATTTTATCTCTAGGAACAATGCCTTTGGGTTTGGTGTTAACATCTTAAGAATTATGAAATACAACTTTATAGCAAGTTGCATGTGTTGGGTCTTCATTCAGAAAATTTGCTAACGCTGGTACACTGCAAAATTGAAAATTGTTTTTACTAATGGTTTGTAGAATGGTTACTGTTCTAAACCAGAAAATGAAGACGTGAACAACTGAAGCTCCAGGTGCCCTCTGAGGAGTTTCTCTTATTTGCAGGATTGGAGAGGGAGCCATGACTGATTTATTTTGTGTTGGAACTTAATATTTGAAATATGCCTAATCCATAACACTTATTTTACTGTGTAAAAATTTTAATGAATGCTAAACTTTGGAAGTGTAGTTGTAATTGACAGGTTCTGTCTTAGAATTTCCAAGGTTTTATTTTGCTATTTTCTTTCTTCCTTTTCAAAACAAAGTAGATTTATGGGCTTTGTTGGAAGCTAGTACCAACTGGATGTGGGAGTGTGCTTCTAATAGTCATTTTTCAGCATTTTTGTTTAAATGCTTTAAAAGGAAGCAAATAGACAACGAAATTAGGTTTACTAAATTATTTTTTCCTACAAACCGAGTCTCAGAACTTATAAACTGGCCTATGTTAAAATAAAATATTGATGATAATCAGAGCTTTCCCTTTATTCATTTACTTGACATTTAATACATAATATCAAATTTCAGAAACACCAAACATGACTGCATTATGCAGGCCTTGGAAATTTTAGCTGATCACTTTGCCATGTCAATGGTCAGCATGCCATGTGTTACCTCGTCTCCTGTTCCTTTCTAGGAGCTTTTCCATATTGTCACCATTTTCTACTTTTTTAAATAGATGATTAAATTGAGAAAAGCAAAAACATTTTCTGCTTCCTGTTCTAATCAGTCCTACAGTTTTGACAATTAACTTTTTAGTAAAATGTGTTTAGGAAATGAATTTAAATTTGGCATCGGGGTGGCAAATTCACAGTTACTTACAACCTTATTAGATGTTGTAAATATAATTTGTCCTGGAAATTTCTTTTGTGCAGACCCAAATCTACACCTTCATCACAGCCCAGTGCCAATGGAGTCCAGACAGAAGGACTTGACTATGACAGACTGAAGCAGGTGGGTACTCGGTGTAGCTTCCTTAGTCTTTCTTGTTTAAAGGGGGCAGGGGCCTTGCACACACATATTCTACATGGATCCTGGGGTGCTATAAGAGATCACACAGTTACAGATATTTTAGACAAATTAAAGTGGCTGCATTTGTCCCTGTGAGCATCTCAATTCCTTTCTGGTTCAGTGAGCTCCCTTTAAGTTGCAGTAGCAGTGAAGGGGACATGGCGTGGTAATGTAATATAAAGCTTCGATGTAAGGACAAGGCTTGCAATTACAGTAACAGTAGGCTTCCACCTTTCTCTTACCATATTGGTAAAAATAGACCAAACAAATCTGTTGATTTGGCAAGACTGTGTGGGAAATGGACATTCTTTGCCTAGTTAGGATTTCTAAGGATATATTGTTCTAAAAACAAATATCCAACTTTTGACTCCACCAGTTTTATTTGAAGAGGTTTATGAAAATTGATTAGTGCAAAAGTAAAGGAATTTTAACAAGATGGTAGTCATCAGCCTCATTTGTACACGAAAAGTTTGGGGGGGGTGTTATTTTTGGTTTTTCAAGATGGGTTTCTCTGCATTTTTTGAGGCTGTCCTGGAACTAGCTCTTGTAGACCAGGCTGGTCTCAAACTCACAGAGATCCACCTGGCTCTGCCTCCCAAGTGCTGGGATTAAAGGCATGCGCCACCACCACCCAGCCGAAAAGCTTTTTCTTTAATGAACTTTAAGAGGCAATTTAAAATTTTCCCGAAGTATACTATATAACACATAATTTAAGAGGAACTGATTCCTTCCAAAAATAGCTGTTGTTTTTCTCCTATGAAAATTGTGGCTCTTTTTCATTGTTCTTTTAATTTTTGTCTATAATTCTTGATGGAAGCACAGAGCATAGTTTAAATACAAACATACATCTATATACATGTACATACATACACACATAAAATGGCAGCCACATGAAAAGTGAACGGGTGATGCTGGAGACATGGCTCACTAGTTAGGAACATGAGTCCCAGCTCTGCCTCTGGATACCCACCCACATGTTCTCTTACAATCGTACAGCTTCAGAGGATCTGAATGCCCTATTTTGGCCTGTTTGGCATCAGGCACATGTGGTACACCTATACATACATGCAGGCAAAATACTCAGACATGAAAAGTAAAAGAAATAAATCTGTTTAAAATAAACAGAAATAATTTCAATATTTTATTTAACCTAAGTATATTAAAAAATGAATTCAGTATATACACAATGTTTTGACATTTTAATGAATTTGTTTTGTTAAATTTTTCATTTAATGGATTATTTCTTCTCTCAGAGCCCAGAAAAGGGGAGGGGGTTGTGAGCAGCCATTTGAGTTGGAACCAAACCTGGATCCTCTGCAAGAGCGAGTCCCCACATTATTTTCTTAATATTTGGTCTGAAATCTGGAACATGGTTTACACTTACAGTCCATCTTTTTTCAGACTGCCTTCATTGTAAGAGCTCAGCAGCTGTGTGTGGCTGGTGCCTGCTCTCTTGGGTACTTGAAGTAGGACTTGGCAGCTGTGAGGAGTCCTAAGAAATTGCCATACTTTTGTTTGTTTGTTAGTTTGTTTGTTTGTTTTTTCGAGACAGGGTTTTTTTGTGTAGCTTTGGAGCCTATCCTGGCACTCGCTCTGGAGACCAGTCTGGCCTTGACCTTACAGAGATCTGCCTGCCTCTACCTCTGCCTCCCGAGTGCTGGGATTAAAGGCGTGCACCACCAACACCCAGCTTTTTTTTTTTTTAGATTTATTTATTTATTATGTACAGTGTTCTGTCTACACATATCCCTGCAGACCAGAAGAGGGCACCAGACCTCATTACAGATGGTTGTGAGCCACCAAGTGGTTGCTGGGAATTGAACTCAGGACCTCTGGAAGAGCAGCCATACTTATTGTTGTGACAAATCTGTCAAGAGCAGATTGTCCAGTGACATCTTCTGTGAAACTAACCTGCACATCACCTCTTAGATGGCTGCTAGAGGGTCAGTCCCCAAAGTTGTCTCAATTCTATGTCTCTGAATAACAGAACGGTCTGTCCATTTCATGTCTTGTTAGGCCAGAAGAAGCAAATTTGGGTTAGGTAGAAATAGTTAAACAATTTACTAAGGCTTGCCTTCTAAGAAATAGAATTGAAAGTGTGGAAGCAGGCCATGTGGTGGAGGGACCCTGGGGGGATGGTGTTCCCTGTTGAGTAAGCACAAGGGTTTGGGTTTGACCCCTGGACACATGCGAACAAGCCAAGCATGTTGATGAGTTCCAGGCCACTAAGGCATTGTTTCACAAAGGGGGACAAGGACACTGGGACAGATGGTTATCAACCTGTGCTTGTAGAATAATACCCAATACTGTTCTCTGGTCATGCACATAGATACAAAAGAGCTGTATTTCATGATGGTCTTAAAAGTTTTATCAGAACAAGAATCTTCTTAGCTGTCCTTTTATCTGTTTGTTTCCTGGTGCTTTCTCTTGATACTTCAGGACATTTTAGAAGAAATGAGAAAAGAACTAGCGAAGCTGAAGGAGGAGCTTATTGATGGTAAGTACCTGGCATGCTGGCCCCTCTCACACTCTTCAGAGTGGCTCAGCTGTGCTTAGTTTGTTGGGAAGGCGCTGTCCTCTTAGGATGTAAATTATTTGTAAAAATGAAGATAAACAAGGTTTCTAAGTGTCAAGTGTAGTATTTGGTGGAAACCAATCAGGCATATTTTTCTCTAAGACTCCTCTCCTCATCCATTCCACTGTACACTCCTTGTTTTGGAGCCCACAGGAAGAACTAGAGTCTTTGTCTTGTATACACAAGGGAGAGGGTAGGTAAATATAATCACACATGATTAGAATCTCTGTGGTATTAAAGATCTATAAATGAAGACAGAGTTTGAATACAAACCTTTAGATTTCTCAGGAACACATCATTCATCTATCTTCCCCATGTATTGACATTGGAAACCATTTCTTCCCTGTTACAGCAATCAGGCAGGAGTTGAGCAAGCCGAACACTGCATAGAGAAGCAAACTGAGGAGAGACAAGACTTGAATCTGGAGAAAAACAAAAATTCCTACAAACAACTCTTAACAACCCCCTACGATTTTTAAGCTGTAAGAAGAAAATGGACACACAGTCAGGAGGGAAAAAGCACCAACCTCAGAAAGCCTTCAGACACAGCGACTCTGGCAATCAGCCACTCCCTCCCTCCCGGTGGTGTGCTGCTCTTGACCTGACCTTTACCCCAGGATGAAGAACTATGTCTGAGTTCCCTAGCAGTACTAAACCCGCCAGGCAAGAAATATTTTCATGTCTAGATGAAACTGCACGTTTTCCACAACCCATTGCTAAAATAAAGAAGAAAAAGGCTTAGGAGGTTTTTTCAGAGGGCGCTAATGATGAAGAATTTAGCAAGTTCGGCTGTTGCATTGTAAACGTTTCTCTCAGGTTTGTCTTCCTGTCATTTGATATTCCGTGAATAGCTAAGATCATAAAATATGGAACAGATGGAATTGTTTGTGCTTTCAAAGGGTGGTATTTATAAGAAAGGTCCTAAAATGTTTAGTCCCATTTGAGGAATTTTAGAATGATAGGAAGTCTTTCGGGTTAGCCTTCATGCAATTTTGTAGTTTAAAACAAAATCCGTCCGGAATTTAAAGATTTAGATGCCTTCCTAAATTGTTACAATGCTTTACCAAATCTATGACTTCTACATAACAAACAGTTGTCAAATGTAAACCATTCTATTATAGATTTACCGTAGGTTTTCAACCTTTTTTAGACTTATGCATGCGGACATTTTTATAATGTAATTACAATCACCACAAAGTTAGCTTTTTTAATTACAGACAGTAATGCATGTCACACTAATGTGTAGTGGCCTTCTCAAGGCCTAGTCCCAGGGAAACCATTTTGTAGAATACAGGGAAGAGGGAGGAAGGGGAGGAATAATTTTTTTATTTAAAGTTAATTCTGCACTATCTTTTTTCCCCTCAATTATCTGCATGAGTTATAATGAGAAATATTTTGTGACTTTAATCGGTAAACATGTTAACAAAACCAAGTACTTAACCTCTTACACCATGTCTTCAGCTGTTTGTATTTTAACCAGCAATCTCAATGGTCTGAAGCATGACTCTGAGCTTCCCATGAATCACACATCTCACTGTGGAACTCTGAAAGTTTGGTCACAGAATTTTGTTGTTACTATCACTCGGTCCCTGCAGTGCTGCAGGTGTGTGGGTACATGCTCCTGACTGTGAAGCTGCTCTTGACCTTTGTTGTACTAAAATACGAGAAATATCAATGGTGGCAGCAATTAGGGTCACAGAAATCGCCAGATAAAGGGACACCAATGGAGAGTTCTGCAGTTTTCTTTTAATAAAACTGAAGTAAGATTTAGGTGGTAGGAAGAGTCTGATACTGTTAGACCCTGAGTGGGTGTTTTGTGTGTGTGTGTGTGCATGAGAGTGTGCGTGTGCAAGCGTGTATGCATGATGGTTGTGTCCCACCCCTTTATGTTATAATTGGCAAGATTAAAATAAAGAAGAAATCCTAATGTTAGCTTTTTGGAAAATCTAGGAAAACAGAAATTCTCCAGTCTCTCCATCATGATTTACGCTTGAGTTATTAATGTGCCATACTTGCTTTGGAATCTTTGGTTATCAAAACTTTTACTTAAAAAAAAAAAAAAAGAAATCACTTTCATTTGCTTTCTGGATTTCATACATCTTAGATGTAAAACAAAGCTTGATGCCAGCATTGTTTTCTAAACACTGTAATTTGCAGTCATTACACTACAGAGAAGTCGAATGAGGATTTTTTTCCTTGTTAACAGTTTGTTTCTGTAGAAACTTCATTTTTAGATTAAACTGTGAGGGATGAGCTATCATAGTTCAAATATACAGCTCTTTTTCTACGCATTATTCATTGTCATGCAGTAGTAGTAAAGGCGTTACAGATATGGCTGGCTTCTGAGATGTTCTCTAAGGGAAATAGGCTTTTCATTTACTGTTAAACTTTTCATTATGCAGCTCCTTCGATAATGTAGATGTGTGCATCCCTTACAGATCTGATCAAAAATCACTTTTGATTTTGTTGCTGAAGTTAAATATCGTTAGTAGGTAGAGTACTGGGTATAAGTGGTCCAAAGTGAGGCAGAAGAATACTAAAGTCAAATGCTAAGTCCTAAAAGAAACTGGTTTATGCACTAAACGTTTTGTGCCTTGGTCTAATACTTAACACAATGTCTGTGTAAAATGATAAAAAAAAAAAAGAACCAGTGTTGATTCATGCTATATCGCTATATCCTCCATAATATTGCATTATCCACATGGCTAAACGTGTTCCTTCCTAGAAGCTTATTGAACTATTCTATGCGTTCATTGTCACACACGACAGTCTTGCCATTATTAGAGATTTCGGTGATTAAAATGGGAAACAGAAGCTTAGGTTGTTTTCCCACAACCGTCCCTTGGAACCATATGATGATGATGGGTTTTTGCTTTTGTGTGTTGAATGTCTTCAGCTGAGTGCAGTTTAGGGATGCTTTCTAGCTACAGGAAAGCACTGCTCTCCTCAACACTGTGATCTGCCCTGCGACAACCCTGTACAACACACTCTGTGAATGGCTAGCAAGTCAATAGCAAACAAACTGAATGTATAACCCTTAGTGCTGGTGCTGAAGTCTCTAAAGAATAGTTGTCATGACCTCAGAGTTCATTTAAAAATTTACAAGCATAACGTGTCCATCAGAACTAAAGATGAAACACTGATGAATGTAGAATCCTCATGCTGCAGGTGTGTTTCCTATTTAGGTTTTTCAGTTCTCTGCTGTTTTTACCATAACTGTTTGATTTAAATTTCCTACACACTAACTTCATTTGTGCGATTGAAATAAAATCTCAGTATATACATCTTTCTTGTTTGTGACACTTAGATGATCTTCTGAAATAGTGTGTCAATTCCAAACCAAGTCATACTGGGTGTCAAATGAGCACCTAATGCAGCCCAGGGCTTCACTGTTACAGTTTACACGTCACGTCACTGTTCCTTAAGATTGCATCAAAGTCAGGAATAGTAAATAACATAAAGGGAATATGTAACAATCTATCTGCCTCTTATTTTGAAGTAAGTGCTGTGTGTTCCTTTTATCTCATTTTCTTACCACACCTTGACAGTGTTTTTTATAGTCAAGATGGTGAAAAATGTTTCACTCCATTTTTTGTTCTATAACATGATCATATATTTCACCTCTTACACAGTTCATGTTTGTTTTTATGATTTGCAGATTAAAAGATATTGCCAAGTAATTAACTTTAAATGTATAGTCTGTACCATGTGGTGTTTTCTACATCACGCTCATCTCTTTAAATTGGCTGAATGTATATAAGCCTCAGCATTTTTATCATCTATTATAAAGTATCTTTCCTGAGTTCCAGTTTGAAACTGTAATTTCTTCATTAGAAGTACAATAATCTTGTATATTTTTTCTTCCTTTACCAGACCCCAGCCTTTATCCTAAGCTGCCCTCCATCTTTGTGGACTACATGTTCCTGGCATTAGTTTGCATTTGCTGCTATTACGTAGCCCAGTGTTGTGAAAACACCAGCTGATTTTTCTTTTGTGTCCTAACTCATATTCCTGCTTTATCTACACATTAGTCACTCAAGAATGAATTAAGCAGCAGATGCTAAGCTTTTCAATTTGCCTGGCTAAAATTACTGTCTCATAAGTTATGTTCATCTTTTCAGGGTTGCTATGAAGAACTCATGCTGTTAGGCACAGGGCCTATGAAGGTGCGCTGTAGGACCCATATTTTCTTCATGTGGCCATGAAAATTGTTTAAGCCATTTACCATGCTCTCTATTCCTGTGAACATACCTGTAATCCAGCATTCTGGAGACAGAAACAGGAGGAGTGTGAGTTTGAGGTCAGGCTGGGCTGCATAGAGAGACTTTGTCTAAAACAAATTCATAAAGTCCTGTGGGTTGTAGCATGAAAATGATGTCATGTAAGGCAGAGTGCAAAGGGAGTGCCTGTGCCTTCATCAAGCTGTAAGAAAACCCACTTTCCTAAAGACATTGTGGTTTTCACTTCCAAACTCTGACTTGTTCCTGGTAGTGCCAGTTTTGTTTCTAATAGAATTGGTACTTGATCATCTCCCCAGAGCTCTGAGAAATAGAAAAGGATCCTAAGAGTTTACTGAAATTGATACCTCTGACATTTTTGGTGAGAGCCATTTACTGTTTTATAAGTTCAGTCCTGTATTTTAAGGAGTCTGACTGCACAATTACTCTGGTCAGTACTTTAGATGAAGATCATGGAGAACATGTACTTACAGGAATTGTTTTTTGTTGAACATACATCCTTTTGACCAAGAAGCAAAAATTAGTGATCTCTCAAGAAAAGCCATTTATTTATGCCGAATATTCTTGGAGGTAGGGGGCTTTCTCTGTGATACAGGCTTTCTCTATTCCCAACACCAAAAGGCTGTGGATTAAATCTCATTCCCTCGTGTTTACCTTGATGGTGTTTTGAAGTACCAAGGTTCTTTTTAACATGTCTTTGTGTGAGTGACCGTGCACATGTATGTGCATGTAGAGACCGGCGTTGAACCTCGCCACCCATTTCCTTTGAGACAGGGTCTCTCATAGGCCTACAGCTCACAAATTCAGTTGCCTGGCTGGCTGTGAGTCCTGGGCATCCTCCTGTCTCTGCCTCCTAGTGCTGGGCTTACTAATTTGTACCACCGTACCCAGCGTTTGTACATGGGTTCTAGGATCTGGCTCTGGCCCTTGTGCTAGCTTGGGAAGCACTTTTCCAATTTAGCTTAGTTTCTAATCCCACCCTCTTGTTTTCTTTCTATTTTAATGTTGGAAAAGGGAAACATTCAAAATTTTAAAATCTAAAGGTTGTTTAGTTGATTAGAAAAGATGGTATAGTAAGTTTATAGAGAAACAGACACATAGATAACCTGTTGGTAGAATACTAATGAATAGTCAACTCACACAAGGAAAATTGGACTTTTTGATAAAAATGAATTTGAAAACTTGAAATATGAACTGTGTTAATTTGTAAAGCCACAGTCACTGAAGGGTAAGAAGAATTTGCTACAGTCGTTGATCGTATCTGTTGAAATCTAAAGATGTGGGTGCAGGTGAGGAGCAGGGGGTTGGGAAGAAGCTTTTCCCTTCGTAAGAGACGCTGTCTGTTGTGTCAGCTCACTAAAATGTCAGAGCTATGCACTCCAGACTCCCTGTAGGTCTCCCATGCTTGCTTATTAACGTATAGACTAGATAATAGCCGAAGTCTCAGTTAAGTGTTTGGACCAGAGGTCTATCCCGGTACCCTGGTTTGCAGCTCACCAGGTACTGCAATAGCACACAGCCTTTAGAAGCTTCTGGTGCAGGACCCTAGGATTCCTGAATAATGGAAGACCTTGGTCAGGAGCCCAAGTGAGAACTGAGAGGTAGCAGAACAGATGACTGACTTACAGTAGGAAACTCAAGTGTACCACTGAGCTCATCACTAAATTCAGCCTTTTCTAAACATAAATTCAGCTGCAAGATAATAGGGCTTTCTGTTTTAATAACAAATAGAAATGCTCATGTGTTCATTAAAGAACTATTGGTAAGTGACAATCTCTGTTTACTGTTCAGTGAATCTGGTTTAACTGTTTTCCTTTTGACTCCAGGAAGTAGATAATAGACTCCTTAAAAAAAAACGTTGCCAGTTGAATTCAGGGTGGTTCTTCCAAGTAGGTTTAGAATATATACACAGGCAGGCCAGTCAGCGCAAAGGAAATGGTACTCCAACGAAAAGACATGTGCTTATTATATTGTAGCACTGAAAAAAAAATGAAAATGTAGTCTCTTGTAATCCTGAAGTAAATGTGACACAGAAACCTTTTTTTAAATTTGGTACCTAAAAGCATCTGAAATTCAGTGTTCTTTAGTCAGCTTATCTACACGGTTTTTTCGATGCTTCGTATGGTGTTCTGTGAAAGGCTTCAAAGAATTTCTGTTTTGATGATTTTCAGCTTGTTCTCAGTGAGATGTACCAGCAGAAGATTGTCACTCCACTGCCAGGGTGAACTTTGATGCAGACATGTTTTGGCATTTGGTATTCTAACTTGTGGAGTTTCCCCCAAATATTTTCACCCTCAAGTCTGAGGCCTGTCTGCCCTAGGGGATTGTCTTACACCGTTATAATCATAGCCCTACCTGATGCCAAAGTCACCCAGCCTCCATTGTGTATCTGGAGAAATCCGAACTGAGCTGGCTTAGCCCTTTAACCGGCATTGCACAGTGCCTGGGAGAACTATCTCAGAAATGGGGAAGGCATTGATATTTTAAAGAAAACCATGTTAAAAAATCTAGATATAGTTTCTAGTTTCCCCTGGGTGGGGATGGGGCAATTTCAGAAGTTTGTTTACTTATCCTAGACACCTTTCACTTGCTGACGATGTTCGGGCACATGTGGTCCCTGTGAGACAGGCACTACTCTCAGGTGTGTGCTGTATTTCCATGCTCTGCTTTGCTGTGACTATGAACGCTGAGGCAGGTGTTGAGTTGGGACCCCATGTGCCATATTGCTTGTCTGTCAGGTTCCTTCTACCTCTGAGATTTAATTGAGTTTCTTCATTTACCTATCCTCTGTAGTTGTGGTTGGTTTGTTATTTGACCCAAGAAACTGGATTTTTTTTTTCCTATGCCTGTGGATGTTTTGCCTGCATGTATATCTGTGCACCACATATGGTGCCTTTGGAGGTCAAAAGAGGGCATCCGATCTCCTGGAATCTCCTGGAGTTACAGACAGTTGTGAGCTACCCTTTTGATGCTGGGGCTTCAAAAAGGTTAACTTCTGAGCCATCTCTTCAACCCTCTGCTCTCATCTTAAAGAGCAGCCTTCGAATGTTTAAAAATACTAGATTATCTTCAGTGAAAAACACACATCCAATTTATGAATAAGGAAGTGTCGATAGATGGCTATATTGAGGTCAGAAGTGTTCTGTTAGGCATTGGTGATTGTTGGTCCATTCTGCATCATTTGTGTGCTTTCATAAGCTGAAACACTGGGGACAGCTTGGTGGCTTCAGTAGAGGAATATGCCATCAGAAAGACCAGTGTTCTTTACTGATGTCATGGGGTGGCTGTCAGTGGCAGAAAGCTCTTGTGTGCTCTTCTCATGCTTTGTGACCTGTTTCTGAGCTAGCTGGCTACTTAGCTGGGAGGCTGGCAGCCTAGCCCTCCTTTTTTCCTGGAGGGAACGTACCTCAGCAGTGCTTGTGAATGTTTGTGTCCTGTGAGCCAGCTGTGTCAGCTTGAAACAAAAGAATGACACTACACTTCCCTCTCCGCTCTTTTTATTATGTAAAGTACATTCCTTCCTAGCTTCTTGTTTTGGGGCTTTACAGAAATTACAGGCCAGGTGCCCCCTTGACACTGTTTAAGGGTTCTGATCTCTTGCTTGCTTTTTAAGAGAGGTGACTGAAGTGTGGCATCTTGTCTTCCTGTGGCGCTTCTGCTCTGATTCTTGGTTTATGTGTTGGCATTCATTCCTCAGTGGCAAGACTTGCGTTTCCTGATGTATGTATTTGGTGGGAAGGGTCGAGTTACTGTCATACGTGAGAGCAAGTTAGGGTAGAGTTTTCTTAGTTCTGTCTTGAGACATCTGTGGTCGGTAGGAAGCATCTCTGTAGTACATGTTTATAATATGGGAGAGCTTTTGAGGAAGCCTTTCTGCGGTCTGTAATCTAAACACCCGCTGAATCTCTAGTGTCCCCCATTGGCAGATAAAAGGCTGCTGCATCTGTGCGTTATCCAGAACAGAAAGAACTTCAGAAAGTTGCCTGGGGGTTCCAGCTGGCTCTCGGGGCCTGACCCACGAGAGAAGGTTTAGGTCCTCTGCCTGATGCAA